GTTTAAACTCATATGGTTTAAAACGCATGATTTCAGCGTGATAAACATGATAATCAGAACCAAAACAGATGTTTTTAGCAGGTACAAGCTGTAATGGCGCAGCTCTATTCTGGAAAAGAGGGCGGGGAGCAGCAGCTCAATTGCATTTAAAGAGACAGGCCTGAAAAACAGCGTGTTTTTGCTTCCACTCAAAATAGGCATTTTCAAAATGTTATAATGAATGATCTGTGGAGTATTTTGAGCTGAAACTTCACAGACACATTCTGGGGATACCAGAGACTTATATTACATATTGTAAAAAGGAGCATAACATGTCTCCTTTAAAATGAATTCAATTCTTTATGGTTTAGAAGTAGGATCAAATGCGATCGTACCTGTGTTTTATAAATGAGGCCCCAAGAACCAACTGCATCAGAATGTTTTGTAGTTAGGTAAAATTTCCTGAACAAGTTTGGCTAGCTACTTCATCGATGCTTGCAGTAAGGAGCAGTTTCTAATTTCTTGCAATACATAATCTTAAAAATGACTTATAGGAGAAGCATTCAGCATTGATCTGCGTAGGCCACGTGTGCTCTATTTGCTATATATTCTTCTACTGAGATTCAAGGAAATTGGAGAGCTTGCAAAAGAAAGTAAAGAAATGCTGAATGCTGGCTTCATCTCCAGCCACTTAACCCGTTACTTCACCATACAGTTTGTGAAAGCTCCCAGATTGCATGAAAACCGGCACCATATTGATGGAAAAAGGGGTATAAGAGGTGATGGGTTTGTGTGGATTCTTGCCTAGAAAAGATCATTTTATTGTTTAATTTTAAGGTAAGTATGAGTGCAGACTCCAGACACCTTTATTTCCATCCAGTAAAGGACTCAGTACTTTGACGAAAGCAGACATCTTGCTTTTTAACATTTTTTAAAAAATATTTAATGATCTGCATAAGCGTAATTACAGCCCTTGTTTCAAGAATATATGTTAACTAAGCTGTACATATTTACATAATTGTAAACAGAAGATACTTCTCTGCTTCATCAAAGCCCTAAGACCTTTACGTACTAGTTCTCTTGTCATCTTGGATGGATCTCTGACCTCTCCTGCTGACCCCACTCTCCCCATTTCACTTCTTTTCATGAATTGCCTAATTTGTAATGTTGATATCTCATGTGGTCTGTAGACCTGGATGCTAAACAGTCTTAGAGTTTCTTTTACAAAGATGCACATTTTGTATTTCAGACCATTGTCCTCTTGAACATATACCGTAACACAAAAACTCTGCCCAGTCTGCTGATGGTTTACACTGTAAGTTGCCCCCCACTTGCTTGCAGGAGTCTGTGGCATTAAACGTTTCTTTACGACTGGCACATATCAAGAGCATCCATAACAATGTTAACGGATTAGATCCCATAGTTTTTTTTTTAATACAACTTTTCACAAACACTGCAGTGATTGAACCATGGCCTTATGTTTATAGGTATAATGAAGGTCTATTTAATTCAGTATTTAGATTTTGCAGACACTTTATCCCCAAGTATGCATCATTCCTAAAAATATTTGTTAGGTAATTTTATGGGTAATGTATAACAATGAGACCTATAATGACTTGTAATGTTGTTTGCTCAGGGCAACAGATTTGTCTTTGAACCATATCATGATTAGTTACAATCTAATCAATACAAAGGCTTACTGCGTGTCTGCCAGATTGGCCTGAAATAATTTCCTTTCTCAATTCTCAGTTTAAACATATATGTTGATCATCAGACTTTATATTTAAATATATCCTGTTGGTTTGTGTTTTAACACTATCCAGTAGTTTTATGATGGGCCAGTTAATCAAAAACTTTATTTCTTATTTGCATGCTATGGGAGCTAGGTGCTGTTAGTGATTTGGAAATGCAGGAACATTATGACGAGTTTTTTTTAGGTGAGTTTTCATCAAGGATGAGTTTTGTTTTGTTTGTTTTTTTCCTGCTTCATGAGACCTGTGGACCTGATTCAGAAATAACTTGGCATCCCTAGGGTCAGAGTTTCTGTGTCTTTCTGTACTCTTTACCATGCTAAATGGCTCAAATGTGCACATCTAACCTCTACTTAAAGTGACGTTCCTAGAAGAACAAAGCTAATATTTACATATAGATGAAACCATTAAAAGCCATGCTGGTTGGGTGAAGGAGAAATCCTGGCAACCCAAGGTTTTTAGTTGTGGAGGCCTGAATGGTGCATAGACATTTTACAGTAGCTCTTATTTCTTTTTTTTTTTCAAAAAGTTTTCACATAAAACATTTCTTTAGTGATCTCACCGTTCTTATTTTGTGATTATATTACATCGCATAATGCTTAATGAGAATCAGTAGTTAAATGAATGCGATGGTTCACCCAAAAATAAGGGGAAAAAAGAGTGAAATGCAATGTAAGAGTAAAAAATAATTCTTTCATCATTTACTCACTCACATGTTGTTCCAAACCTGTATTACTTTCTTTTTATTTCTTTCCTTTAACACAGAAGATACTTTGAATGTTATGGTCCAAACAACGTAGGACCACAGTGGCTTTCACTGTATGGACAAAAAAAGTCATACAGGTTTGAAGCAACATGAGGGTCAGTAAATGATGCC